TTTTTCCTCCCCCCCCCCCCTTTTATCCTTTTGGGCTGCTTTTCGTTTGCACCATTTCCGCAGCAATAAGGACTGAGCTGAGCGCGCGCTCCGCGGCAAACGCACATCCCGCCTCCCTCTCTCTTCCTGAAAGCCCCTGGAGAAGCGGAGCGAGCGGCTCGGGTTTCGGGGATGATTGGCAAGGGGGAGGAGGGCGAACCCGCGCTCCCCTGGGAACGTTTTCCAAGTTGCAAACGTCGGGAAATCGCCGCTCACCTGCGCTCGCTAAGGGGGGTGGTGGAGGATGGGGCAAAATACAGCAGAAATTCCGAGGAAAGCCACGAGTCTGCAATTAAAAGTGGTTTCCAACTGCTTGTGCGAGGCTGAATGAAAGTCCTTGGAGACCCTTAGCTCTCCGCTCTTCAGGTTTTCAATACATGGATTTTAATAATGTCCTTATACATTTTATCCTCCCCTATAATTATTTAAAACCTGGACAGACCAGTGCTCAGGTCCCTCTGGTGGGGAAGGACATACTAAGGTTTATTTGCCCTCGGCCACAACTCTTCAAAGTTACCCCAAACTTCAATGACTGATGCAAAAGTCAAATAAGGAAAAAAAGTAACTCGGCAGCAGCTGCCTCTTCCAGGTCACGCTCCCTGCTTCCCAAACCTGAAAGCCAGGGCCTCATTTTGAGCAGTCTTATGCATGAGTGAACCCCTTGCAGCAAGAAATTCGGCTGTCAGATGTACGTGTGCCCTAGTTTACTGCTGATCGGGACTGAGAAGTGACATGGGGAAACAAAAAGCCTGATGTTCTGCTGCTGCTTCCTGTAACACACCCGTGACGGGACCATCCAGAGGATTTTGCTGCTCTCCGTGTTGCTGTCTCATGTCACATCTCCACAGCAATGCATGTACCGAAGTGATACGCGATGCAGGAGCATCAGCAGGCTCAGCGTGGGGACTGGGCTCAGCCTAATATCTCTGCTGCTGGCTGAATACTTTGCCAACAAGCCAGCCTTGTTCCTTGGTTCACAGACTACTAAACAGAGATGAATCTGATCCCTTCCTTGCCCTTGGACCTGCCCTAGATGTCAAGGAGTACCAGTCTCTCATCAAGCTGGTGTCCTCCCCATCATGTGTGTTCTCCAGCCAAGACCCAGCATGGGGCTATTTCTGCACAGAGCTGTTGCCCTAGGGAATGCACCACGGCAGCACGGCACAAACAGCCAGCCCGGCCCAAATGGCAGAGCCACCTTTGAACCAGAAAACTGGAGCACTCTGTCCAAAGTCATGCAGCACAGGAATGGAAGTTCTCTGTGTGTCACCGCGTCCTGGATGCAAACGCTTCTTTCCAGGTCTGTATGGTCAGTATAGAGGGTCTCCAGCCTGCAGAAACTTGCGACAAGCGGCCCCTGCCCTGGGGATCACAGAGCCTGATTGTTAAGGGCCGATGCAGAAATGGACTTGGGAAACAGAGCCTGCTACATGTAGCCTTCATTTCCACTCAGCTTCCAGAGCAGTTGCTTTCCATTCACAATTTGGATACTTCAATTTCCTGCCCATTTAAGCCATTCTGATGTTCCGTGTCCAAGCTGCAGCCTCTTGGCCTGACATCTGCTTCCACCATCTCTGTAGAAAACTACCCAACCTGTCCCTTCGGATCATGACATATTTTTATGGGTGCCTGGGCCAGCAAACAGCAGACCAGTGGACAGGCCAAGTGTCCCTGGGAACAAGTGCCTGGGAGGCCCACAATCCATCCGTGAGCCGCAGGGCCCACGGGAAGGGTTTCCATCTCATGTGTGTGCCAGCTGATGGAAGCCGTGCCGCACATCTGAACATGCGGTGCAGGGCAGCTCTTGTTCGCAGCTGAGACCTGGGTGTGACGTATTTTCATCACTCTCGTCTTATGTGATGTGTTATGTGACAGCCCCGCTAAGCCAAGATTCATCTGGGGTCCATGTGATGCTCACATGAGCCGTGGCGGCCCCAAACAGATCTAACAGAGCTCCTCACGGGGAAAAAAATTTCAAAAACTACTTTTTAGAATAAGTTTGCCAGTAAGATTTATGACAAGAACAATTTCTGAGCAACATTTTCCAATTTCTTGCAAATGCTACAACAACGTAATGCAACTATAATCTGTTAATGTCTTCATCCTAATGCATGATCTGTCCCCATTTTCATCCTAATGCTGCGCTCTCCTGTTTAGGCCACTCTGCTCCTGTTGTTCTTGCTGGTAATGGACAAAATCCAAAAACCTCAACCAGAACTTTCTCTCAACTTTCAGATTTTTCCTTTAATTTTGGTCTGTTTACTCAGTGTTCAACTGACTTCTTCCCATCTTACCTGTTAGGTGCATCCAGTAAGAATCAGGTGTTGAAGCTATTAAGAAAGTCAGGATAGCCCTAGATCCTAGGAGCTGGCATTGCCTGTAACACCTCAGATATAACCAGTTTCTTCGCTGTCCTCAGTCTTGACCCTACAATTGCCCAGAAAATTACTGCTGCAACAAGATGATTTTAGGACATACCTGCTCAAACCGCTTCTGTTAAAGGAAACCCTTGGTCAGCTGTTAACAGCATTGACCAAGAGGCCACAGCAGAGCTGGCTCTGCCCCAGAGAGTCCCACACATGGATCCATTAGATAACCAGGTCATTGTGCTGCACAGAACCTGCCTTTGCCTATCAGCTCTGCTCTCTTCAGAAACTATAGACCTGCCTTTGCAAAGGAACCAATTTAATGATCTAACAGACCTTCTTCATGACTAATTACTGCCATCCAACAATAACACCCTCCTTTGTGCAAGGGTCTCTAAAAGCTTTACAAACATTCATTAACCAAGTTTCATAGTATACCTGGGGAGCAGCTGAATGTGGCATAGGTAGGACTTCAACTGAAGTTTGGTAGCCCAGTCTTTGGTTGCCAGTAGTCTACTTATGAGCAGGATGCTGCTTTCATCTTCCTTCAGAAAATGCCTTGCATGCCCCACTAAATCTTACAACCAAAGCTGTTCTTTCAGAGAGAATATTGATCCCCAGTCTTGGTCTCACAGGCTTCTCAAGATTCTTGCTGTACCCTGGATTTGGGCACAAAAAGAGTCAAAACTCCCCAAGAATAAAATAATTCTGTCCAAAAACTGGGGAAGAACAGTCTTGCTTGTTTTGGGATGAAAACACGTGTCTACTTACTGAGAATGTTGTGGGTTTATCCACCAGAGAGTTTAAAGAGAGTTTCGAGTGACTAAGGCTACAACTGCAAATGCAGATGACTTAATACAGCAGAATTAATTTTTAATTTCCAGATGAAATCCAAGCCCTCAATCCTTTGATATCATAAGACCTTGAAGCTTTGAGAGCCCATCCCTGTGGATACCAGAGAAAAAAAGAGACTTTAAACAAGGTCCAGCCATTCTACTATCCTGTTGGTACATCCATGCAACTAGTATCCGCCCATACAAACACCCTGCGCGGAAGGATTTGACAAAGAGGAGTTGTTGTTCATAGTAATTCTACCTATATTTTATCAGAGGAGGGTTTTCTATGTGGTTAGAGATGTTTGCATCAAGCTGGTTTTCTGATAAGGAGGAGGAACCTGGCTGGCTCAATTTTGGATCCATCTCTGGAAACCATTTCAACTGGATCCTGTAACACAGCACCTTATGTGCAACAGTCTGCAGCCTCCTGCTCCCGAAGCAGTGACCCATGTTGTTCTGTGGCACTTTCCCCTGCAGAAGGACAGGGTAAATCTGCGACCACAGGGTCCCCTGAAGGAAAAGGCAGCTCGCCCCTTGCAAGCATCTACGGTGTCACCTTCCTCTACAATTTATTTCAATAATCTCCCACACAGTGGAATATAAAGCTGAAGATCAATCTCATAATCATATTAAGACACTCCAGGGTATATTTTATAGGGCCATTAATATAGTTCTTGGGTGGTTAAAGTCACCCACAGCATAAATTAATGGCCCCATAAAGCATACTCTGTCATATCTTACAGCTTAAATAACACACACCAGGCAGCAGTATTTTGAGGGGGGGAGTTACTGAGTGTGTTGGGTGGAAATAGAAGGCCACAGAGCAAAGACTAACCAGCCAGCAGCAGGTAATATCCTCCTAGGGACACAAGGCCCGGGACATCTTACAGGTAGCATGAAGCCAGCAGTTATTTTAAAAAGTGATATTTAAGAAGTCTTAAGCTATTTAGGAATGCGGGTCTCATTAAGTTTCATTAGCATTTGTGCTCCTAAGTCTCCGGGTTCCTTTCAGGCATATCTTCCCGGCAGAAATGTCTGCAGTTCCAGGATATGATTGCTGTGGGTGCGGCTTTTTGGCAGCAGCCGGAGTCAGCCTGTTCCCAGCATTTCCAGGCTCCTGAGGAAGTCCAGAGCAGAGGGGATAGGGCACAGCCTGTTGGTTATGTTCAGGATCAGATTTACTTTGCAAGCTTGCACATATTTCAGTTTTCTAAAAAGAACCCTGAAGGAAACCCTCAAAGTATCCATTCCTGGCAGTTTTTATGGGATGTGGTACACACAGAGCATTTCCACCTCATATTTTCAAAATGGAAAAAAAAAAGTTCTTTTTTTTTTTTAATCCCACAGTACAACCTCCCTGCGCCATTTCTTGCATCTCCTCTCTTCAACCCACAAAACTCACTCTTCATCCCCTCTTAAAATCCTGAAAATCTGTGAGTGGGAGACAGCTGCTCTTAAATCAGGAAAGGCTGCTTTTATAAGTCTGCATGGTGCCATAAAGAAGATGCAGAGCCTGAACCTTTCAAAAATCCTGCATGTTGAGTGAGTCAATAGTCCCCTGTGATAGATATGGATTCAAGTCTGATGGTTTGAATACAGAAAAACAGGAAGCAAACACTCCAAAAAACCCACCTGCCCCCATAGCACAGCATGGTTCAAGCAGTTTACATGGAGCTGGCTAAAGGTGTCAATTTTAGTGTTTTTGTCTGAAAATAAAACTATCCCAAAGGCTCTGCTTCCCCAAACCAACAAGCAAGTGGGACTGAGCGCGGGTAGTATCTTGTCCAGTAGCTCCAGCAGCAGTTTCTTTCTCAAGAGCAAAAAGTGCAAGTGCAGAATATTAATAGCAATACTATGTGCAGAATAAACAGCAGAAATCCCTTTTCCTCTTCGTATAAACTATGAGCGGAGGAAACATCTTGGTGATAGAAAGTTTATTTCATCCTCAAGAAAAAACTGCACAAACACCCTTAGTATTATTATAAGAGGGAAGAAGATAAAGAAGTGTCAAAGCAGATTGATGGGAGCAGCCCTGGTATTTGGAGAAGAATTTCTCCAGAGCAGCATCGATGCATCCATCCTTCAGCCAAGAGAAGTGTCTGGGAGGTCCCTCTCTATGTCATAATTATAACACCAGCAAAAAAACACCAGACAGGAGACAGCAATACACAGCACGGCCCTGACCCTGCAACCATCTGTGGCTTGGCTTTGCTTTGCTCGGGAGAGTAATGTACAGACATGAGAACTCACATGTGGAAGGCTAAGCGCACATATCCATGTCCTCAGAAGCAGAGCCAATTAACACACCTCAAGGTATCACGCAGTGATCTGGGAGATAGCACAAACATGCCTTGCTGCTGGAAGCACTGAAACAGGAGAATTCAACACGTAGCCTGACGCTTCACCAAAACATCCCTGACCAAGCTGCTGCTTGCTGGCCCTGCAATAGCATCTTTATGCTCGGGAAAACCTATAAGCTGGCCCCAACAAAAGCAGCAGCATCTTCGATGCAAGGTGCTAGTCCTGTTCTCCCATGAAAAGATTATGGCTATTATTGCTATTTATATATAATAAAGGCCAGGAGTCTTTGTTGACATCAACAGCTCCCAGGACTAACATTGTCAAACATACAGGGAGAGGATGCTCTTCTTCTCCAAGCAGCTCCAGAGTGGGATCCGGGGCCTGGGAGCAGGTCAGCGGCAGAGCTGGGATTGGGATTCCTGACTCGCTGCCTAGTGTCCTAATATTAGCTCGCATTGTCTCCCAGACGGTCTCGTAATTCTTTCGCATGAACCGCAAGCCCAAATTAGCTCGTCTCGCCACATAATCTGCCAAGCTGCCCTAAATTAAGCAGGGCCCCTGCAGGCGGCATGGGAACAGCTCCGAGGCTCATGCCTCCCTCGTATGTGGGCTCGGCTGTCCCTGCCACAGTGTTTATCCATATTTTCCTAGTAGCATCACAGAGGCAGGACGGGCCACGTCCTGGCACTATCCGAGAGGCGCTGGTTGCTGCTCCAGCCTCCCCTGTCTCTGCATCGAAGCAAGGAGCAGAGCAAGGAGCTCCAGCGGCTGCTCAATCCACACTGCTTTTGGTATGGCCTTGCAGGGCAAGCCCAGCCTCCTGCTCCTGTCTTCCTGGCATGAAGCTTTAACCAAAATCAGAAATATGAGAAAATTCTGACAAATCTAGTCTTAACTCATGGAGAGCTGTGGGGCACTCGGCAGAAGCTTGCCAGACCCATCACAAGTAACCACCATCAAGAGGATGAGCAAGAGCGTTGCTCCCATCAGCAGGACAGCTCAGCTCCCCATCCTCAGCCCACCGATGCTCAGCCCTTGGGGTATGAGGTCATGGAAACTCTCTGCAGTC